ACAAGGATGCAATCAGCAAAATTCAATTTCAATAAAAAGTTGCAAAGAAAAAAAGGGAACTTATGGGTTAAAAGAGATATGAAACAAAGTATACAACTGCAATGTTATGGATCTTATTTATGTAGGTGTTAATCCAATCAATCATAGGCACACATAAATACCACACACACACACACACACACACACACACACACGATTCCATACATAAAAACTTTAAAGTGAAAAAGATTGGGCTAGAGTTGTAGCTCAAAGGTAAGTCCCTGGGTTCAATTCTCGGTCCCACATTTTATTTTTTTTTATTTTTTATTTTTCTTTTGGTTTTTCTCTGGTACCAGGAACCGAACTCACGACCTTGCGCTTGCCAGGCAGGCGCTTTTTGCCGCTGAGCTAAATCCCCAGCCCGCGGTCCCACATTTTAAAAAAAAAGCTCTGAAAAACGATCCGTTCATGTCTTTAGCTCACACTGTATATATTATATGACATATAATTGGCAATCCTGGAGCACTGACTGGATATTTGATATTAATTTTTTTGTTTTGCTTTTTGTTGTGCTGAGTATCAAATGTAGGTAAGTACTCTACCACTCAGCTACATCCTCAGTTCAGTAATTATTTTTGCAAGGTGCAGTAATAGCTTTGTGATTATTTTTAAGGAGGCTTTCTCTTTTAGAAAGGTTCTAAACTATTTACAGACAAAATTATAAGACTTTTTCATTTGCTTTAAATAATCTAAGGATAAAAGAGAGGGCTATCCCTCAAATAAGACTGGTGATACCTTATTAATTGCTGAAGCTGAGTGGCACATAAATGCTTCATTATATTAGTCTCTAATTTTTTTAAAAAAACAGTTTCACTATTTACCCCAGGCTGGCCTGGAACTTGCTATGTAGCTCAGACTGGCCTAGAATCTACCATCCTCCCGCCTCAGCTCCCTGAGTGTTTACATCATAGGTGTGTGGATTACCTCAAACCAGTTCTACTTTTCTTAATGGTTAAAATTTTCCATAATAAAAATTTAAAAATTATGCCTACCATGTTTAGGGCCCTGGGTTTGATCCCTAGCAGAGAAAAAGAGGCATTTAAAAACATTTGATGTCCTTAGCCCACTTTTCTATGGAGATATTCACCTTGTGCTGATTTGTACAACTCTATAAATATGTTGCACATATTTTTCTAGTTTGTTATTTGTCTATCATTCACACCATGCTTCACTATATAAACATTTAAAATAATGTATGCTGTCAAAACTATTATCAAAGCATTTTTTATACCCATAAATGATGCTGAGCTTAGACTTTCCCTATGTTAGAATTATACTATTTACCCACACTTCCCTTTAAAATTTATTTAAATTTTAAGTACATACTTCTCATATACAAAAATAGATCACCATTACATTATCTAGAAAACAAAAAATCATCTGCATCAGCCATAAATTTTAGAAAGATGTACCATATGTCATGATCCACATGGCAAGGAATTGACAGAACCCAGCAAGGACATTACACACTTAGTAGTTTAACTTCCATGGGTGCTATATTTTAAAGAGGTAATATGCATTAAATAACAACTAGTTTTGTTTTCCTGTTTTAATTAAAAGTTCTATAATTTTGTCCAATATCCTGGTCATCATAAGTTAACATTTAGTAGACAAATGTTTACAAACAAAATGTGGTATATAAATACAATGGATTATTCAGTCTTAGAAAAAAATTCTGACACATGCTACATCATGGATAAATGTTGAGGACATCATGCTAAGTGAAATAAATCAGTCACAAAAGGATAAATATTGTATGAGGTACACAGAGTTGTCAGATTCATAGACAGTAAATAGATGGGCAGTAAATAGTAAATAGAGTGTGGAGGAAGAGACGAACGGAGAGTTATTGGGTAGTGTTTCACCCTGAGAAAAATGAAAAAAAATTTTGGACATACAGCGTAATAACGGTTGTATATCAATGCCACTAAACTGCATACTTAAAGGTTAAAGTGGTAAATTTTATGTTATGTATATTTTACCACAGAAAATTTAGTACATTAACATTCAGCAACTAAATTAACATTTATCCCAGCCAAACTAAAAGAAATTGGACATTGTAATTACATAGTCCACGCACTCTCAGCAGTCTCATAGGGAAAGTGTATAATTTTTGCAACGTTTCAGTAATACTGAAAACTTCACAGAATCCTAAACAGGAATCAATACAATAACCAAATAATAGCATTTCAGTTTTGAGGCTTCACCCAATTTTTCACTGCATCTAACAAGGCACACTCCATCTGTGTCCTATCTTTCCGCCACCACACAAGAAAACAGGAGAGAATCTGTAGTTGATGTTCTAAGTGCTATGGAACATAAGACACTTATTGCCCCACCCAGTTTACGCAGGCCTACTGCAGCCAATCAATACACCTTCTTGAACCCAAATACTCTGTATCTGCAGCAAACCCAAAAGGAAAACCTGGTCTTTACATTCTGCCCTATTAACCATCTGAAACTGGGCCTGAAGAAAGGTTGCTTGTCTCTACCATTCTTCCAATACTTGGGATCTCTGCATGAACTATGGATGGTTCCATTTAAAACAGGCTTCATGGATCACCCATCCTTTCAATGGTTAAAAAAATTCTATTCAGTTTTAGTAAGAAAATCAGTATGACTACCCAAACTGTTATTCTTATAGCTCTATATGAAAACTAGAAAGTTCAGTATGATACACATGTCCTTTCCAAATGAAGAGGACATTAATTTAAAATATACAGTAGTAAATACATTATGTTATTTCTCAGGCACATGAGTAATCATGGTGTTCTACTCTCTCTTATGTCTGAAAGCTCCATTATGTTAAAAACATTTTTCCCCTCTAACTCCTTCTAACTTGGTACTACATGCTTGTAAGTCTAGATGTCAACACTTCCCCCATCGTGTGAAAAAACTGCTACTTGCAAAGCCCTTACTAAAATACAGTTCTTAAAAATTCTTAAAGGAAATTCTCATAATCTAATAACTTTCTTGCACCTTTCCATTTTTTAAGCTGAGGAACTAAACACTAGATTTGGCTATTCATAATGTATTCATATAGTCATTTCCACTATAACAATCACAGAAAAGGAAAACATATGTGAATCTCCCACTCTGAATATGGCTATCACTGCACAATACCGAGATTAACTCCAAACTGCCCCATCTGAGGGCCAGAGTCTCAGCACAACTCTCTGGATTGCAGTGTGGCTATGTGCAAGGTACCTCCAACCCCAGCAAGCCTTTGATACCCTCCCTGCCTGGAGAGAATTCGCCAGGACCACAGCACCATTCCCTGCGGTTTTGCCTGCAAAAACTGAACTCCAACTAACTGAGAAACGGTCAGGACCGCCAACACAGAAGAACAGGTACAAAAGGAATCCTAGAACAGGTTTTTATATCCTTTAAAACCTTAAGAATAATTTCCTCTGGGCTACAACCTGTCTAAGAAAGAGGAGTTAATGGTTAGCCTTAAGTTTTGTTTTACAACTAAAATACAAATGGAAAGGGAACCCCTAAATAGACAACTCTGAAAACAGTTCCTTGCCAAAGAGAACTGATTTTCCCTAGGGGCAGAAGTATTACTAGACTTCCCGATCATCTGGACAGATCTGCATGTAGGATGAATAAAAATAGGTCTCTAAATGCCATCAACCCCAGTGAGGGTTGTCACCCTCATTTCCTTCCAAAGGTAGATCACCCTCACCTTCCCAACCTTGAAGTAGTGTTGTGACAGAAAGTAACCTCTTGCCTGCTAAATGCCCCAAGCGGGTCAAACTTCACATCAGCATCATGCACTCGGTTTTGAGGCGCAGGGCAAAGAGGAAGGGGTGGTACTGGGAGCGGAATCTCCGTGATTTGCCAGAGGAAACAGCACAGACTCTAGACAGCAGAAGCGCAGGGATTTCCACGCAGCTGCCACGACAGGTGACCGGGCCGCTTTTGCAGACACCCCGCTCGCTCACGGGGCTTCACTGAAGGTGGGGCGGACAGGAAGGGGAAGGAGGGTGGGAGACCGGACTGAAGGGGAGAAGGCTGGCAGAGTGGGGAGGGGAAGCCACTCCATCGCGACAGAGAAAGGCCGGGGGAAGCACAGCTCGCTCTGCCCGGGGAAACCGCTTTAAGGTATTTTCTGTCTCCACAATTAAGGCGGGCGGGTGGCTCCAAGCCAAATGCCTCCTGATTTACACACACAAGCACGCACACGCGCGCACACACACACCGAGCTCCTCTTTCGCCCCATTTTTTCACACGCTGAAACAAAAGGCTATATGGCAAAGCAGCAGCAACGGCCGGCCCGCTCGGGTCGGTCGTCGTCCCCGCGCCGCGCCCTCGCCAAGCGCCCCCACAGCGGCCCACTGC